CCCCATTGGGGGGGGGGGTCTGGCATCCTCTGGGGGTGTGGCAGGGCACACCAGTGACGGGACATCACCCGTATGACCCCCATGGCTATAGGCCTGCCAACAAAGCCCTACAACAAGCTACCTCTGTGTCACAGCTACCTCTCTGGAATTTGGCTGGATGAAAGCTAGCAGATCCAGAGAGGCAGTGAATAGTTCACTAGGTACCACCCAGAGCAGCAGCCATGAATTTGCTTTTGAAGTAGTCTCAATATACTGTAACCTTGGGATATTTTAACTTGTAATATTTATGTATTCGCTTAATGTTCCCCTTTACAATGTCAATAAAGGTATGATGATGATGATGATGATGGTCTCTATGTAGCTACTACTTAAGCAAATTGGGCCTCTTCATCTCAAAACAGATGCAAGGATTGCAGACGTTACTCCAAAGTAGTTCTATATTGCATATGAAGTGCATGTACCACTGATATTCATCTTCCACCTCATCCAGTTCATAAGCACAGTTGCCACAGAGTCCTGAGGTTCTTTTCCACACACATTCAGCTCAAGTTCGTACAGAATCCAGCTTTGTGTCTGTCACTTTGTTTACACACTTCAGAATCCATCTGTTTCTCTCCAAGATGCTTATTTAAAGCACTGGGAAGACACGCATGAAACACATGTAGGGTAACTGATTTTGATGTTTATATTTTCTGCCGAGTTGCAAATGCACACCGTGTCACAACATCGCCTTTAATTGCTTCATGTCACCAGCTCCTTTGCATCATGCCTTTTCTTCTGCACCAACTGCTTCCTCACTGACTAGTCCCCCATTTCATCCCAATTCTTGCTTAATCGTGGGCTTATTTGGTTTTCAAGGCAGACAAAAGGGGGGGGGGGAAGAAAGGGGAAACCAGAAACAACACGGTACAGACCAAAGATTACATCAGGAAAAAGTGCATATCAAGGGAGCAATACACACATTGGCCCTGGTCACACGGGCAGGAAAATGCACGGGGGGGGGGGAGCGTGGCTGTTTGCCCCGGGGCAAACTAACGCGTGACTACAAGATCAGACGTCCGGTTGAGGTCCCGTCGAGGTCCTGTGGCCAGGGGGGAGGTGCCGATCACACCACAGGCAAAGAGGCGGGGTGGCGCGGCGCGGCAAACGGGGTTGTTGCGTTTTTTTTTTACGTTTTAAAACTGAAGTGTGTGCATGCTCCGTTGGGTGCTTGTGCGCATCCGTGGAGCCTTGGGGGAAAAAACGACCTCTTTGCGAGGGGACAAGGGCGGGCGCCGGATGCCACCGGAAACACGATCAGACGCCCACCCTTGCCCCGCGGTTTCCGGAAACTAGTACCTCGGTACTAGTTTTTTGCTGCACAACTTCGGAGGGAAGCCTCGGTTGAGCCACGGGAGCTCTACGCTTCCCAGATGTGGCGGTGAGATCGCGCTTGGAAAATCTGCCTATCTTCCATCTCTCTAGCGTGGCTACTGTTCCGTGTGACCGCAGCCATTATTTACCTTTTCTCCAGGCTGAGAGACCCTCTTTATCCTGTTTTTTTCCAACTACTGTTAGTTGGCCTAGAGGGTTAGTTGGCCCAGAGGAAGGAAGCAGCTAGTTATCCCTCCACTATGCCTGGATCCAGATCTAGCTGGGAATCAGCATTCCGGCAAACATTTATATTGAAACTTAATGTCATTTGTACTAGATTTATTCCTTGGAGCTATTTTGGAATCACTTTAGGTTGAAAGCAAGATTAGCATCATTCACAAGTTTGCAAGGTGTATATATATGTGTGTGTGTGTATAGATATTTTATATATTATATAAAAATTTTATACACACACATATTGTACACACACAGAGAGAATAACTATTTCTATCTCTGGGACTGCCAGACTGCAGCAAATGTTTACAGAGTCTTCATGCAGCTTGGTCATTTTTGCATGGTCAGATGTTCTTGGAGGCTTAAGTAAATGACCGCTTTTTGGAAAGTGGCTTAGGAGCTTTGCAAACTCTGAATCTGCAGATTTCTTCAGCAATAAAAGGTAGTATTTCTCCAGGCATGCTAAGTTCCTATTCAATAAAGGTTAAAATATAAGCTTTAGGTTCAGGTTATAAAAGCATCTTGCGATTTTATTGCAGGTTTCCCGTACATAGGATCAAATTTGCGTTATTAGGCATCACCTCAAGTTGAAGGGGGAAAAAGATCCTGGTGGCCCACAGTGTCTCAAGTAGAGAGGGCTATGCGGTCTACTAACAGCCTCTATTGGGTAATATGCCATCAACTTACTATCTTGATAGGCTGATAACTATGCAAGTAAGTTGATAAGAGCCCTACTAGACCAGATTTTCCTAACAAGCAGGACATGAAAGTAACACAGCCTTTAGTATTTAAAGGTATACTGCTTGCAAACATGGAGGTTCTATTTAGCCATCATAGCCATAGATAACCTATTCTAGGTCTGTAGGTAAGGACAGAATCCTGACATCTTTTCTAGGATCAGGCTACAGGCCAAGACTTCTCTATTAGGCCCTTGGCTGATTTATTTCAGCTGCTTTTCAAATTATTGCTAAAACATATTGTACATTTTATCTGTGCTTGAATATCTTGTAATTTAGTTGATTTATTGGACACTGATTTCATCCATTTTATCTGGACGCTGCCTCAGAAGCCTTTTGGCTGAGAGCTGGGGGATATAAATAAGCAAACTGCTCAGTGGTGCTAGGGTGGTACATGTTACATAGAGGAAACAGATGTCTGCCAGGGAGCACAATCCAATAGTTAACCAAGTCACTTAAAATCACATGAAAAGTAGGGTGCTTCCATTTCTTTTCCAGGAGGATGCCCAATACACTTCATCCCAATTGCTACCCACATCCACAACCTGCCTGTAACTCCTTACAGCTTGTTTAAAGGAAAGCCCTTGTAGGATTAGCCTGTCAATTGCCTCAGCTTCACCAAGAAATATTCCCAATTAAACACACACATTGTTTAATCCCTCAATAGATTGGTGCCAACGAGAGGATTCTATAACCATTTCTTTGGGGTTCTCAGCATCAGCAAGAAAAGACTGACACTCTTAATGAACAAGCACCTTTATTAAGCATTCGACTGTCTGAAGGACATTCAATGTAGTTTAAACGACAAATCCGTATTTCAGTCTCATCTTGCAATTATAAAAGAAATGTGTTAGCTTAGAAGTTGACCCAAAGATACAAGTTAGTTTACAATAAGAGTTTTGGTTATTTCCACATCTCTTATCAGAAGGATTTATACTTCAAAACGACAAGGAGAAAAAGGCTTTGTCATCAACAGAAAATGTACATGTCAGCTATCTTCCAAGGCTGAAATGGCTATGTTATGAAGTACAGTCTCTCCATTCTGCAGAAGTACACTTTTGAAATACAAAGAAGAATGCACTGACGTTTTCACCAAGAAACTTCAGACTGAAAGGAAGTCAGTCGATGAGTAAAGGAGCTGGGCAGTGATTCAACCCACTGAAATGCATTTTCCCAGGAAAAGCCAGTATGGAACTACCAAAGTGTCAGTGCAGTTGCTTCCTCCTACAAATCTGCAGGCGTACCCAAAAGGGTCAACTGCAATACCCAGATGATTTTTGTTCCAGTTAAACTGAAGTCACAGCTCCAGGGGCTTTTATAAAGGTATCCTGAAGAACTACAGCTCTTCAGTACAAACTCTGCACTAAGAAACAGTGAACTCTAGGGACCGCTACAGCGATTGTAGTTAGGTGGCTACCAGACTTTGCAGCAATAATATATGAACATTAGATCACAGCCTGTAGTTTTGGTCCAACTCTATATGAATATAGGATAGCTAATGATAGTAAAACTTAACCCTTTGGAGAGGGCATACTGCTCCTAAGATCCATGCTAGGAAAGGGCACTTTGGAACTCCCAGACGTTTTGAATATCTCTAAAGAATGCTGCCGCTTGAAGAGAACAACCTTTAACAACGTAACCTACCTACTCCAGATGACAAATTGTTTTGGTTGCCAGAATCTCACTAAGGCATTATCTAAAAAGCTGTGCTGCTGCACAACCTTTTCTCCACACCAGTAACAGAGTAAGAATGTGCATGTCTGGATTTCATGAGCATGGTCCATCGAAATGGCAACTACAGAACTGCAGAGCTGTAAGGACTGTATCCTATGTGAGCAACAAATGCAATATATGTGTGGGGGGAAACCGCTGCTGTTCAATATCGTCTTTTACTGCACATAATGTATGAGCAATCCAACGTACAGTACTAGAAAGACCAGTAAACCAGAATAATCTTCTCCTTGACAGCTAGTTTTCTGTGCGGAGACACCCCCCCACCCCGTTATGGAGGAACATTCAGTCATATAATCACCAAATGAAGTAGTACAGCCCAAACACAAGTTTCTTGCATCAGTGAGAACTAGTGTGAAGACGCTGTACTCCGCATAGATATATTAGCACTTTCCCCCCCTTCAGCCTGTAGGCTTCTACACTTCTCACAGCTCTCTGAATATTTTATTTAGAAGGAAAAGGAAACCCCCCCCCCCAGACATAGCTAATGAGCATCTTTTAACTGATCTTTACTCCAACCTAAGAAATTACTTAGACGCTGAATATAAAATGCTTTCCAAATAGACATATTAAGCATATTAAGTGGTACACAAACTAAGCCTCCAATACTATCCGAATCTGTATTTAAGAAGGGGAATAGAAAACTTCTTGGTTTTCACAGAATAGCATTTTTTAAAGAAAGTTTGCTGTATAGTTGATTCAGCATTACTAGACAGCTTTGTTTCTCCTTCCAGCCATGTTACACTGCCTTCTGCAGTAGGAGATGGCACAAAGTGTAGTCCCTAAGAGCAGGAAAATTATAGACAGTGGCCTACATTTGTTTAAGCACAACTTTGCTCTCTCCCTGCAAGACGTTCCTAAGGTGGGCAGGGCAGCAACCCCAGAGAAAGCCAACAGAACACAAAAGGCCAAGTATCAAGTTGATGTTGCTAATTAGCTGGGGGGGGGGGCGGGGTGTAGAACGGGAAGACGGGTGTTGATTTTCTTTCCAATGTCAAAATATGGAAAATGGGACAAAGCTAAGAAGGATCTGTTAAGTACAGAAAGTTTCAAAAGGGGAGAAAGAGAGACTCTACACTCTATAGATGCCATTATGATGCAAAGAACATTCAAAGTGTAGCTTTCTCAGCCTGTCTGTTGGCAAAAGAAACCAAATTTAATTGGCACATGTGGGGGGGGGGGGGGGAAGGCAGGCTTTCTTTTCCTCCTTTGCTCTTCTCTCCCTCCCAATGCCTTTGAAAAACCCAAAGCTACAGCAATTGCCACTGCCCAGTCCAACAGAATTCCTACCCCACCAATTTCACACGCACACACAATCTAACTCTAAAGGGAAACTTTGCCTGATCAGTCTACAGTATGAAATAACTAAAGGGGCATCTTAGTGGCTTGAAAGTCAAACTCCAGCTAGTTCTCTCTTTTTCTTTCTCCTAAAAAAAGTGCCTCTAGCACTTAATCACTGCTTTCTGCTGCTAACCATTTACAACAGAAATCGACACATAAAACAGGTCCCACTAATCTAATTGTGGTTAACATTCACTGGATGCGCCGTAGCTCTCCTGGGCTTCTGGAAAGGACATGTGTACACAAATCTTCTACAAAGTCACCAGCGATGTTTTGGAATTCCTATGGCAAGAAATTAAAATCAACTAAACCAGCATATGTCAAAAGACAGATACTCACCCCCTCCCGTTACCCTTCCCAAGTACAAGACTTTGATAGACAACACGCAACATGTCCTAAGATTGCAGCAGAACCTACACGAAGCAAGTCATTGAGATTTAACCTTGACCACAATGAGAGAGGTGGACAAAGAAAGTAACTATGGTAACAGAGCGGAGGGAACTGATGTTTTGATACTGTGGCACTGAGACTTCTGCCAAGTTTCTGAGGAACTAATAGGGGGTTAAAAAGAAGTCAGTGTAAAGGTTCTTAGCAATGTACTCGTCTAACTGAGACTTCAAAATCCCCAGCTGGTAGCAGATAACTAATGACATTTGTGGCAGCAGCAATTATGTTAATTATTGCAATTACCAGAGGTTACTATACTATGATTCACTGCAGGGACCTGAGAGATGGTATTTGCTACTATGCATTGTGTTCCCATGAAGCATGGATGGTTTTAATGCTGTGCTTTCCCATCACATCAACACTGAGGCCATTATGTAGAAGTGGAAGGGAGGGAGGGAGAAAGACCTGGTTTATTGCAGAATCTGCTTACAAAGCAGTTGCTGGGAAGTATGATGCATAGTTCAACAATGTGACCACAATCAGAAATACTTCCTAGAACTACTGGGATAGGGAGTCGTCAAGCAGGTGACTAAAGTTATCAGCAAGGGTCCATGCCCAGGGCAGACTTAAATTCCATATTCACAACTGCTTTTGAAACAAACTCAGTGGCAAAAGGGGTTTGCCACGGTGTGTACAGTCTTGTTGGATAAACAAAGGCCTACATATTGACTGGACGGGTGGACCAACTTTGTTACCGCCCCTGGGGAATCTATTTAAAAATAGTACAAGCTTTTTAAAAAAAACAACTCACCATGCCTTTTGTTCTAAATCTCATTTTCTAACCCCAGGCTTGATCATACAGGTAACCAATCAAGTATGTCCCTGGAACCACTACTTATTATTATTGCTTTGCTTTTGGGGGCACAGTCAAATTATACAAGGAAAGGTATTTCAGGACTTCTTGAATGTGCCCCGATTTTGAAATACTGATGAGTAATAAATCTACATTTTACAAGAACAATGAAAATTGAGCAACACTTGCTTGAGAGAGGCCGCACAAGGACTCTTACTCTACTGAATGCTGGCAAAACAAAATTAATGATCAGAAAGGGGGAAGGGGATGATGCACATCAGATGCATGGATTTATTTACAGCTTTTTCACTCCATGGCAGAGGCTCAAAGATATACCACTTAAGGATACCCTTAGGCATATGTACATCAAAGAAGGTGGTTTAAATCTCTCATATTGCACTTTAGGTGATGTAGTTTTAATCACAAGGCATACCAGTCATACACCAGCATTAAAAATGGACATTTTCTCAAACAGCAGGACAATGTCTGTCTATATAAAGATCCAGCGAGTCTCGTACAGAAGTCAGAGACTGGAGCTCTTTAAAGCTGCCTGACTTTTTTGTCTGTGCTTTTAATATTGATGTCTAGATTATCAACTTTTGTGGTGAGGCGGCCCAGGATATCATCTTGCTCCTCAATTTCCGTCTGCAAGCCAAGTGCTAGACCTTTCAGGCGGCCCAGCCCAGAGGACATTTCATCTACAAGAAGGCAGAAAAGAAGAGGGTGAGGTTGGGAGACAAGAGTCACTCTTACACAGTACCTAAGTGCAGCTGTGGCTGACAGGTCCCCCTTCTCCCAGATACCAACTTCCCTTGCTAAGGCCAGAGGGAGAAGAGGCAGCCACCAGATACCTCACTCAAATTATTTTAACTGTCAAATGTAAGCCACAATGGGAATGGGGATTGAAAAAATGTGGCAATAATACAAAGGGAACATGTGGAACTTTTTGCAAGCAAATTCACAATACCGTTGGTCTTGCAATATTTTCAAGTAAGGAACCAGTGGTTGAGAGAATGGGCACTAATTTTAATTTCTGAATTCTCCTGTGGCTAAAAGGACCAATTAGGTGGCATATAACAGTCCACAACCATTTATGCGGCAATAACATTGTCATTAAAACAGTACAGATTCTGTTGCTGTTTTGCAGTAATGAACTTACATGCTACCCCTCTGAAATCAGAAACGGACACACTCTTGTTGACAGTCATCATGCAGGGAAGACTGGTTGTATATTTTAGAAGCCCTCTTGAGTGGGTGTTTTCTTGGAAAAACAGCCTAGAATACTGCTACTTCCAAGCCACCCCCAGCTGTTTGGCCATTATCTTTTAGAGAGGTGGCAGCATGCATTAGCCTCCCTCACATGACTTTCGTGGTCAAGCAAGTGACCAGCAGGACAGTTGGGAAGAGCTGCTATTGTGCAGTGACATCCATTCCTATTTTAACCTCTCTGCAGTAGTCGCTGCACCCTTAGGTTGCTGGAGAGCCATTCTAAGGTAGTGGCTACATGTGGCAGGGCCAAATAGGGCCTGCAATTTGTCAGCACATCTAGCTGTCCCCACACTGCACTCCAATCTCCCCTTCTGTGGGCACAGGAAGGTTAAACACACGAGAGGGAAATACCTCGAGCAGCTCAGGCCAGCTACACTCTTCTACGCAATTGGTCCAAGGCAAATTTCTTCCCCTCTGGCTGCTTCAGGGACAGAGAGGAGCAAGTGGGATAGACCTCTCTTCACTGGAGACCTCAGTTCCCCATTCCCTGAATTACTGCTTTAGGTTAGGGAGCTCAGCCTCCTAAGTTCAAAATCCTCCCAAGAAAGCACATCCCACCTGGCATTAAAGTCTCCCTGTAGAACAGTAGCAGTCTTGGAATAAATCTTCTCTGCTAATAATGTGATTTTTAAGGCAGTGTGTAAATTTGCAAAAAAGGTGAAGAGCCACCATTAAGTCTGTATGTATTTGGTGAACCAGAAAAGTTGAAGACTAGGCAAACGTAAGGATGTTGCCAGACTGGTAGTTTCTTTGAGAAAGAGTGACTTACTGGGGGGGGGGGGAGGTGTCTTGGCTTAAAATAACAGTGTAGGAATATAACAAATTTCAGAAATCATTTAAATGGAATACCCTTGAACAATTTTGTAATAGAAATTTGTTGTGCTCAAAATGTATATAATAACCAGTTCCCAATTCTCTGTTGCACAATGGAATGATTTCGGGTCAGATGCAGCACACAAGATCTCGACCCAGACCTCCTGAAGCTTTTTGATTGACCTTCATGCAATAGGGAGAAGAGGAGAGGAAGCATGATTTAGACAGGGACAATGGCACTGGGACAGATTCCCCCCCCCCCCCCCGTGCTCTTTTCCCAGTATAACTGCCAAGCTGACAATTTACTGTATTCCTACTGGTAGAGGATGTGGTTCAAGCAGTTATGCAATCAAGTTCTGAACTGGAATTAACAGGAAGGGCAAGTCCTTCTAACAGAACATGAAACTGCAGATGCCCCAGATGAATGGCCAACTACTGAATTTTTTGCCCTAAACAAGTATTTTTGCCTATTAAGAAAACTTTTGAAGACGCTTACATTACACATAAAATTAAACATGAGGTATGTCTTGATTTTCGTCCACTCAAGATACAGATGTCAAATGTGTCACAGTCAGTTTTCCAATTCAGCATTTAAAAAAAACCCCAAAACTCACATCAGTGATCATATCAATGCACACGAAAGCTTATACCTCGAATTAAACTTTGGTCCCGGTCACACGAGTGGGATACTGTGCCGCTGAAGGGAGGCAATTTAGAGCCGGAGCAAAAAGAACCGCATAGCGCAATCCAACGCGCCCCCGTGGTTTTGTGCTCTGGCTTTAGGCAGACGACCAGACATAGCATGGCAAAACGGACATTTCGCGGGCTACCAGCGCTTCCCTGATCAGACGCCTGGAGATGCCGCGCGTCATCTGGAAGATAGTGCTCTGTTGCCGGTACCTTTTTTTTTTTTTAAATCCCCGAAGGAATATTTTAATTATTTTTATATAAGACTACCAAAATACAAAGAAAATATAAGGGAAGGGGACTACATCTATGGATAAAGGAAAGATAACCACACTATACTAAAAACCCAAGAGGAGGAGATCATATCCGTGTTAATCTAAGTGTTATTAATAAAATTGTTAGTACAACAATATACTTGTAGAGTTCTTGTTTGTCACAGCTTCAATATTAGTATGTTAGTTATTGTGAGAGAACTTTCTGAGCATCTTCTTGTTATTTGCTTCAAAAGGCAATTTTCAGAGTCCTTCTGCCTTTACTTCGGTTTTCTGTCTCTAAAATCATATGTAACTTTCATTGCACCTGCACCCGTTTCTACAGCAGAGTCCTCATCCGTTCCAGAGGTAGCGGAGTCACTTGATTTGGATTCTTCCTCCTATCTCAACTGACGTCTCAAAAATTCTTTGGCTTTAAAAATGGAGTCAATCTTTTCTCTTTTGTCGTTGATTTTAAAGAAGACACCCTCTGGGATCGCCCACCTGTAAGAAATTCCATTGATTTGAAGAAAAGAAACGAAGTCCTTATAGCTTTTCCTCTTTTGGCGAATTTCAAATGGAATGTCTTTTAAGGTTTTAATGTTTGTATTCCCCAGTTTCAGTGAAGTTGCTGAAGTCGCTTTTAAAATAGCATCTCTGGTCTGTCTTCTTGAGAATCTGGTCACAATTTCTCCAGGCAGGCTATTTTTTTAATATAATTGGAGTATGCCCTATAGGCAGTCTCCATCTCTTTTTCTACTTCATCCGCTGTTGAGCCTATTGCTGGAGCGATGATCTCGCTGAGAAGCTTCCTTGGATCCTCCTTTTCCGATTCAGGCACTCCCTGGAATCTGAGAAGCATATTGGCTTTTTCCATTTGAAGCTGTAACAAACGGTTTTCTTGGAAGTTTTGTTTTGCTTCAACTTCCCCCATTCTTTTCTTCATTTTCTTATTTGTGGTGTCTATCTCTTTAATTCTCTCGATCACATGCTCCACCTTCTTCTCCGTTTCTGCCAGCTGGAGCTGCTGGAATGCGAAGTTTTGATTCAATACCGAGTTGGTCCATCACTGGCTTGAGCATATCCACTCACATTTTCATGACGTCTGCTCCCTCTTCCGGTTTTGGGCTCTGACTACCCGCCGGTTTCATTTTAAACTTTCTTTGCGAGGCCGCCATTTTATACGATTGTTTACAATTCCAAACCGCTTCTCGCAGACTCGAAAAATCGTTGCCTCAATGTCAACACTCAAGTAAGTCTCTCAAAACAAGATCGCTGCTTGGGAAGTCAGTTGCTGGTTAATACCATCGAGTTGCTCCGGCTTGAGCATATCCACTAAGATTTTCATGACGTCTGCTCCCTCTTCTGGTTTTGGGCTCTGACTACCCGCTGGTTTCGTTTTAAACTTTCTTTGCGAGGCCGCCATTTTATATGATTGTTTATAATTCCAAACCGCTTCTCGTGGACTTGAAAAATTGCCGCCTCCATGTCAACGCTCAAGTAAGTCTCTCAAAACAAGATCGCTGCTTGTTTCCCCCCCTGCCCCTTCGTTTCGCTTATCTGTCCTTTCGCATAAGAGGCGTCCCTCTTTGCGCTCCGCTTTTCCCACCAGGGGGGAGGTAGTTCGCTTTTAAATTATTCCGCTTATTTTGAACTCACGTTAATTGTCGGTCATTTCTTTGACCTCGCTCGCAGTAATCGATATTTCGCTCGATCTCCAGCGCTTGTCCCAGTCGAATCAGCTTGTGCCCGAGGGCCACACAGTGGCAGGACCATCAGGGCGGAGGGAAGCCTCAATTGTCCGGCATTGAGCCGTCGAAGAGGCTGCCCCTTAAAAGCCCTCTAGCCTGGAGCCTATCGCAAAAGCTTTGTGTGGGTGCTACTTGAGGTAGCACCCCTCCATACCGCTGGTGTGCGGGTCGCTCCCCCGAGGTCCGGGGAGAACGGCCGCCATTGCTGATCCACAGACCGAAAGTCTAGCCGGTACCTTTTCAACGCGCGATTTCGGGCTGAAGGGACGGATCGGGGACGGGTGCGTGACGCTTCCCAGATGTTGCGGTATGATCGCGGCCGTTTGATGCACCCTCAACCCGTCCGTTTCGCGGGGCAAATCCTCCCGTGTGACTGGGGCCTTAGTTGGTCTTAAAGGTGCCGCTGGAGACCAGCCCAGTTACCCACCTGAATCAATTATGTTTAAAAGTTCCTTCTCCTTTCCCAGGAGCATCAAGCAGTGGGTGGGACTGGGAGGGGAGGAGTGTATTTCTAAACAAAGACAGAGCATGTGGCCAAGGTGCACTAAGCTCTCTCTTCTATTGCACTGCTCTGCTCTCTTCCTCTCAGCGTTTTCACTCAGTCTGGCAGACTTCAGATACTTGAGCCAGGCTGGGATAAAAACACTGACCAACCAACCAAGGACGAAGTTAAAGGACAGGTCACACGTTTAATTCTTGTTCAGAAAACAGACCCTCCCATCTCCCTTTTTTGACACTGAACGGGCAGACTGGCACATAAACCCAGGAGGCTTGCTCTGTTTGACTCTGAACTAAGAAAGGTTGCCTCTTTCCTACCCCCGTCTGCTTTTAAATTTACAGATCTCAGAAAGGACCACATCACTGATCTCCCAGATCCTCCCACACCACTGCTCTTTTGCATCAGATATGGATACCCGAGGCCAAACCGAGTAACATACAAGATCTGGGAGATCAGTGGTGAGATTCAGTCTGAGATCATCTTCAATCGGTGTGTATGTTATTACCTTTCGTATGGGGGAAATGAAGTACTCGTCTTTATTCCTCTTCCTCCCCAATTTGCAATAGCCGTATAGAGAATACAAGCAACATGTTTGCCTTTGCTCTGTGTGTGTGTGTGTGTGAGAAAGAGAGAGAAAGAGAGAGGAGAAAGAGAATCTAGCTTTCAGCAGTATTTCCTCTCCATCAGCTATACCACCTGCTTTCAAAAAGTATCTAAAAGAGAGCCAGTTTGGTGTAGTGGATAAGTGCACGGACTCTAATCTGGGAGAACCGGGTTTGATTCCCCACTCCTCCACTTGCACCTGGCTGGATGACCTTGGGCAAGCTGTAGTTCTGTCAGAAGTGTTCTTGAAAAAGAGCAGTTTCTGTCAGAGCTCTCTCAGCCCCACCTACCTCACAGGGTGCATCTGGCTGGATGACCTTGGGCAAGCCGTAGTTCTGTCAGAGGTGTTCTTGAAAAAGAGCAGTTTCTGTCAGAGCTCTCTCAGCCCCACCTACCTCATAGGGTGTCTGTTGTGGGAAGGGGAAGGGAAAGGAGTTTGTAAGCCACTCTGAGACACCTTTTAATAGTGAAGGGCGGGGTATAAATCCAATCTCTTCTTCTAAGAAGAAGAAGGAGCTACACAAGAGGACAAACTAGCAAGAAAATATAACCCAGTCCACACAATTAAGGAAGCCTTCCCCAGGCTCCAATGACTGGCAGAAGTCCTGTGCACAAGAACATTTACTGGCATGATCCTTTTCAGCCTATGGAAAGGCTTACAGAAACCAGTGAGAGTTACTTATGAAATAACAGAAGGTCGAGCATTAAGCAGCTCAGGCTTCTCACCTAAATTGTTGTCAATTTTCTGGTGGTAAGATCGGAGACATTGATTCTTGGGATAATTATCTGTTGGGACAGAAGAATTTAAACTGGCTCCTGTGGAACTGCAGTCTGGGGGAGAAAGAGAAACATCTTTAAAAACACAATGATACACATATTAAAGATGATGATTTCACTAGTGCAAGTGCTGAAGAATTATGTGGCTCTGGGAGAGAAATTCTGGATTCTTACTTTGTTATTGGAACTCCTAACAAGTATTAACCTTGCTTGCAATTCTATGGGAGCAGTGCAGCTCTTTCTTTCAGAACCACCAATCTTTGATCACGTGGTGTCATGCAAGAGGCCAGTTTTATCTACTACGGTGTCAGTATATTAAGTGGCTTGCCAATACCAGGGTATTTCAATATGTAGTATGTGGGCTGCCCTTGGTTCTTGATCCAAAAATGTCGGCCTATTTTCTGCCCTGGATGCAGTACTGCTCCAGGGTCTGATCTGGTTTCCTATAATCTGCTTGTCGTGTTACACTTTAGAATCGTGGTCAGTAACTAAGCTTACCTGCAGGCCTCTATGAATAGGAGGAAACCTCAACAAGTCACCACTAATCCCCATTCATTCCTCTTGATAGGTCACTGGAGAAGGTGGGGAGCAAAGAAGAAAGAGAGCCTTTCCTCCCCGTACACCTCTGCTCCGTTCTCCCTTACACAAGAGACAAATGAGTCCCTTCTGCCATTTCTGACTTTGACTCTTCCAAGATATCTCCAAGAAAGCACAGCATGTAAGAGATCTCTCTTTTTTTGTTCACCCCACTGACATTGCCTTAGCAGGAAGCTCAAGAGGGGATGTATTTGGAAGTGGCAGCCATGTAGCACGTCTCCAGTGACCAGACTAAACCTATGGAATGATGACATGTTTAAATACTTCATTCTGAGTCGTGTTGATGGGTTGTGTGCGAACATATACACTGAAATGCATACAAACTGCCCTGAGCCTTTTTTCCCTTTGAAGTGCTGCTACCAATTCAAGGAAAACTTTTGGCAGGTAACCTACCTAAGATCACAAGAGGACAGCTTATGCCTTCTTGGGGAAGTCCTTAGCTACTGCTCAAGGAAGCAACACTACAGTGCTTCAGTACAAGGCAGAACAACACGGAATGCCTTAGTTACAGTAACAAAAATCAAGATGATCAGTCTTCTAGCTGTACCAATGTTTCAGAGATCAAACTGGTGCAGAATGGAATACTTGAAGAGTTCTTTCTGCATCACCAGACCACTCTTAAATTGTGTCATTAGTGATTTCAGTGATTGAGTCTAGAAATGTATTTGTTTAGACAAAAAAATCCTATTTCAACTCAATGTGTATTCTTGAGCGGTCACAATACAGTTCTGCACAACAAACAAGATTTATTGCTTCAGTTATTGACTGATGTTTTCCAGTACACACAGAGCCAAAATACAGATGCAGAACATTACTGGACCCAACTCAAAGTATGCAATGGCTATGTATTGCTGCATACAGGACCAGGAGAGAAGATATACCTCATCCCACCCATGAGACTCGAATCCTGTACTGGTTAATATGCCTAACACATTCTCTCAAGCAACTCCTGTCTTTTACAGATAAAAATATATCTATTTCCAAATGACACTCAAAATGAAGAACTGAGAAGATAAGAAGAATCAGCCAAGACACTTTCAAGTGAATGCAATAAACTAGATTCAACAAACCTGGATTATTCAGCTTCCTTAAGTTTGGATGACTCTCCTGGTACTTTGACTCTTGTTCCTTACTGGTTGCCAAAGCTTCTTTTAATCTGGGGACAGAGGAAACCAGTGTTTATAGGTTTATCTGCACACCAAAAGGGGCAATGGCTTTTGCTTTTGAACATCTATTTTCCTTTGGGTAGTGTTTCCCCGTCAAACTGCTATAAACTGTTGCAGGGGTAAAAATTAAAATCATGGCAGTCAGAAGCACAATTCCATTTAGGTTCACACTTCCTGAGGACCTTTGCAAAAAGGACTCTGGGATGCAATGGAGACTCTGTACACAGCTAAAAGAATGTATTGTGCATACATATTGTGGAGTGTCAGATGATGAAACCTATGGGGGAAGTAGAACCTCTTTGAGCTTACACACAGAATGCAATCAAGTAGTCAGGACAGGCTTTCCTCTCAATGTCTTGGTGCAGAGGTAAACAGCGAAACCTGCAATAAGGATGGGAATCAATCTGCAGAACCACATGTGTCCTCCCTCAAAATAGGATTGGTTTACATGGACAATGGCTTGGAGCAGCTTTTTCCAGAGAGAAAATGACAGTGGAGAAAAGGATTACGCTTACCCCCTTTCTCTCCCCACAACATTGCCCTCCTTGACAGAACCTGACAACTAAATTTGCAAAAAACAAACAAACCATAACATAGATGAGCATTTGGTTTTATTTTAAAAGTTCAGCTGTTGATAATTGCAATTAATGCTGACATTGTGTAGAACAAGGGGGAATTAATGTTCCCAATCTTAGAAACCACTGAAACAACTTAAACATATGCCCAAGAAGGTTACATACTTCTAAGTTATGTTACAAAGTCCCTAGTATTTTTGTATCATTAAATGCTTGGTTCAGTTTAGAGAAAGGCGGCTATGGCTGCAGTCACACACACTGAATAATCCACTTTCAATGCACTTTCAATGCCCTTTCCAACTGGATTTTGCCAGTTCGCACAGTAAAATCCAGTTGGAAAGTACACTGAAAGTGGATTGAAAGTGGATTATTCAGTGTGTGTGACCACAGCCTTCATTGTTCTAAAAACAGTAAATCACCAGGAAAGAGGCTTCATTTTGTATCTTCCTTCAACTCCATGAAAATAGGTGATGGGTATGAATAGATTTCTTAACTTCAAAAAAATCCAATTAAAAACACACAATAATATGGATCAGGTAATCACTTGGTGTTCGAAGCAGTTTTAAATCTCTCTCTGATCTAGGTTAGAGCTGGGGTTGAACAGCAAACACAGATTTGAGTCTTGGCCTCACACAACTACTTTCATTCAGATTCTCAGTCTTCAAGACAGATTTCACGTTATAGTAGGTTGGTTCATACAAACCATTTTTTTTAATAGAAAATGACTCTTGGGCTTGAATGTTCTCTATCCTCTTACCCTTCTCCCCTCATGTACTCACAGTTAGCTACTTCCTGGTTCAGTGAGTTTGTCTTTGCCTACAAACCCAAGACTAGAAGCCAGCTTCAAACAGCCTTCGTTCCCAGGTCTGGGTTTGGAGGGCAAGCACAAACTAGAGTTTGCTGGTCTGGATGCAATGGCAACCCAGAACTGACTCTACATGAACAAAGGAAAGGTGGGAAGGAGAGTAGATGAGCACAAGTCTTGCTTCAGGTTACGATGGCTGGAAAAATGGGGAGACATGAGTCATTTCATACCTTTCCTAACTTCTCTGGAGGCCCACGCAGGTAACTTACCTGTTGCTTGCTTGATAATCAGATGATCCATTCTGCTCAGGCTTGCTCTCTGGTGGCTTGGCTTTAAAGTAATTTACAAAGCCACCAAACACACTCTTAATGCTGTTGATGTGTCTCTGGCTGGTTTTTAAATCTTGCTCCATCTTGTCCACCATTTGCTCGCTACGTTTCAGAGCCTCACCCTGCCGTGTAAGCTCCTACAGAAAAGGGATGGGGATATTGAGCTTCCCAGGTAATCAATCTTCAACTGCATTCCCTATTGAAACCAATAGGAATTTACATATTTCTTCAGTGAGTTGCAGTATAGTGCTTGAGATAGTGGTAGAGATATTTAGTGGTGATTCTTTGCATTTCCACAGCATTCATTTAAACGGTTGAAATATTGATATATCAGAGGGTCAGAAGACGAAGCTAAGATTCTGCCAATATTAAACAACCAAATGTATGCTCATTTCACGCATCTCAAATTTAGCATTGTATAGCTCACAGCCTGGAACATTTGACCAGGAATCCAGAACTACACTTATTCAATAGAAGAATCTGCAGCACTGCTAGAAAGATCCCTCTGCTGT